AATCTGGCCCAGTGAACTACTTTATGGGCCGGTCCAGTTTCAAGGTCCTGAGCCAGATGTGAGAAGGATTCTGTCCAAGTTTAAAAGCACAAAGTCTCAGGAATGTCCTTTCAAACTGGATTTCACTGCCTATAAATATTTTCCATCTTCTGCCCTGGAGGATGTAGGTTTGACTCCACAGTTGATGAGCCTGGGCAGAGCAGGAGAGAAGGCCACACTGTTTATCACCAACAGTTTGTCAGCACACAAAGTCTGACTTGTAGAAAAATGACAAAAAAAACCCCCCCAAAAGCCCCCAAAAACAACAAGAAAAAAGACAGGCAGCAGTTAATCAGGTCCCAATAAAAATCAAACCTGATAAATCAATTTTCTGCACAAAGCAGGGTTCAGCATTGCTTACAGCCAGGAAACCAAATAAGCTCCATGAGATTCTTCCAGGTTGGAGATCCCCAATTCCAGCCCATGGGGAAATCTGGTAGAGCAAATGCAGAAGGACAGGACACAACTAGCCCACGCTGGACACGTCACAGCACCATTCCCACACGTTGCACCCTTTTGGTTCCCCTCACCTGCGAGAAAAATCAGGGGGCACTACTCTCACTGCAGGAGGAGCACAAGCTGGATGGAAACTGGTTGGTGATACAATGCATTTGAGGATGAGTAATTCAGTACCTGGGATTGGAGGATGGGAGCTGGAAGAGCACAACCACAGCTTCGCCACCACAAACAGCACTGAAGTTCTGATGCAGGATCCACATAAGCTTTCTCTGCTTGCACAGCATGTTCTGAGGTTGTGCAGAAAATGAAAAACCAGGTTCTCACCAGCTTCCCGTGCCTCCCTTTTCCCATCACGTTTGAAACGAGTCATCCTTTACACTGTTCATTTACCAAAGAGCCTCTGTTGCATTCCACGTGGAGGCCCTTTCAGACTCAAAGTCACCTACAGACTAACTCCTGAGCGACTCACCTTATCAGCACTGCAGTTTGTGTTTATCAACATGATGATATCCTTCCCTCTTTTCCACTCGGATCTGTTTTGTTAGCCATGAGTAAAATCTTCCTGCACCAGCACTCTGCAGGTCTTTGCAAAATAAAAGGAAAAAAAAGGTGAGGAGCCTGAGAGGCTGCTGGTGCACGTGATGATGGGGCTCAGACAAAGCAGCAGCCAAAGCAGCATGATCAAGACAGTGATAATTGGGTCAAAGCACCCTCCTGCTCCTGGGGCTATCACCACCTCTGTCCTGGCTTCGCTAGGATAGAGTCAATTTTCTTCTTAGCAGCTAGAACAGCTGTTTGGTTTCAGGGTGGGATTTGTTATGAGAAGAATGTTGATCAGGTACAAGGACACCGTGTTTGGGGAGTTTGTGAGTGCAAAGGACTGGGAGGGGGAAGCGCAGGAATTAGCAAACCCCAGGACTGGCATTTGGCTCTGCAATGAGATATTCCAGATCATAGCACAGCGTGGGCAGTGTGTTAACCAGGGCTGACTGGAAAGCTGGGGGATTCTCTTGGGAATTGCTTGGACTCACTCTTCCAGGATTGTAGTTTTGGGTTCAGGGCTCCTTTTCACTCCTCTGGGATTGCTAACAGGGGGTGGTGAGCAATTGTACTCTGCATCACTCATTTTTATACACATATAGATGATTATTATAATGACTATTTTTATTTTATTTTAATCCAATTATTAAATTGTTCTTATCTCCCTGCGCAGGGGAAAAGGGGGAGTGTGAGTGGCTGTGTGGTGTTTGGCTGCCTGCCAAGTTAACTTACTACAATCTCTCACCGTGTTTGATGGGTGCAGTGACAAAGGGCAGGTTTGCCCTCCAGAAAGAGCAATCTGATTTGATCTTTTGGTCACAAATCTCTCGTGGCAAAAAATTAGCACCTGAAGGGCTGCTGGGATTCCTGGAGGATTCAGGAATGTCTTCAGTCTGTGTTCAGGAAACACCCTACATTGTGAAGTAGCCATGTGGTATTGCTCCTGTCAAGTGTCCTACAAGGCTCTGTACATCCATGTAGAGCATCTAGTCATTCTTCCTGCAAATTTATGTCAGTTTTGATGACAAAGGATCTTACCTACTTGGGAGACAGGAATGCTGCCCAGTCTCCAAAGCGTGCAGCTGGACTCCACAAAAGTTGTCTACTTCCAGGAGCAGAACCTTATGCATGTTCACCTGCAGCAGCTCAGCTGCCAGCTTACTCTTCTCATCTTGAATATGGACAATTCAAGGGTATTTCATTACCACACAATCAAGGAATCTCAGCATAATCAAAAGCTGCTATCTGTATCTTACCAGGAGCTGGATCAAGACCTGTGGCCTCTAGCTGAGCTACACAGCTACCCTAGGGATGTAGAAGGTGGCTCCTTGTTCTCAACACCCTCTAAACCGTCAGGTTAGTTCCTCTTCTGCATCTGAATAAAACTGAAATTTTAGGTGATGTTAATAAAACTTCTAAAATGGTGCCCCACGCAGCAGACCCTTTTCATTCCTCCTCACACAGCCAGGCTTCCTTCAGCTTGAAGAGCTGGACCTTGTCCTGTCCAGCAGAGCATCATTATCCCAATCCAGTTCCAGAATCTTAATCTGGCAATTTAAAGATAAGTTAAACAAACACCAGGGCTGCCTTGGAGCCCCCACTGAGCAGGAGAGAGAATTCTTGTAAAGCACTTTCCATGGTGTAAACCAGACGTAGTGCAGCCTTTTCTGTTACAAAGGTCTCTTCTGTTGAACGGCCGTTGCTCCTCAGAAAGGTTTCAGAGGGCTAAACTCCATTTGCAAAGACAAGGCTAACAGGGTCACAGCTGCAGATTCTCCTGTCTTCCCTCCACACTCTCTGCTACTACTGACTGTTTTCTCTTCCCACCTGATGCCTTGAAGAACCAAACAGTATCTGAAGAGAGACAAACCCACAAATCACCAGCTGGAAGACACAAAGACCAATAGAGTAAGATGAAGAGAGAAGAGTGGAGAGGTCTGGAAAAGAAGAGAAGTTTATTTATCATAAATACAGATTGGCTAGACATGCAGTTTATCCCACAGAGGAGGCAAAAACCCTGGAGACTCTCCAGAAAGCCACATGCTGGGAAGCTGTTTCCCAGTTACTTCCCTTTCTCCACAGCAAGACCAGGATGAACTCAATTATCCAGCAGCTTGGTGATCTCTTCTGCCATGGGATTGTACCAACGTGTTCCATGAACACTATCGGTGTCTGCTAATGGCAGCAATCTATCTCCACGCCAGCAAACTCCTCCTGCCTGGTCAGAGCTGGAGGTTTCTTAAATGAATTAATTCTGCCAGTGCTTGTTTGCAGCACAGTGGTGCACAGGGATTCAGTGGATGGGGGCTGTATTCACAGACTAACTGGGAATCCTGCTACCAACATCTGTTTTGGGAAAGGCCATTTCTGGAAACAGTATGAAATGAAGCTCTCTGGGCTTGTGTCAGAAATTCAGGCATGTTGTTTTAACAGCAACCTCTGGATTTTGTTCCCACTAAGAGCGCTGCACTTTGAACAGGTTGATGACACGTGATCTAATAATTACAACTGGCTCCTCCCTGTGCAGGGAGGGTTGGAAGTCCCCTGCATTCTCCCTGGCCCTCTGCCACACAAACCCCTCACTGCACAGTGCCTGCAAGCAGATGCTGCAATAGCTGACAGTGATTGCACTGGAAGAAAGCAGTATCAGCACAGAGTTCATCCATCAGTCTTCTGCAGGTCAGTTCTTCTCCAGGATTCTGGTGAGGAGTTCATTCAGCCGGTTCACCATCGGTCTGGGATCCTCATTCAGTCCTGCTGCTATCATGGCATTCTCATAAATCTGAAAAAGAGAAGAAAGCATTAAATAAACAGCAAGAGCGAGCTGGATGGGAGCTGAGGAGGAAGTGAATTTCACTCTCCAGGACTTGCATGGTGAGACCAAGCATGTCTGCTAGGCCATCCGGTAGGAGAACACATGGACCATGAGTACCAGAAACACCCAGAGTGGAGACCACAGAAGGATGATTCCTGCCCACTACAAGGGCTTCATCCTGTTCCCTGTCACACATGGTCTGTGAGCTGGGTCTGGGGACGATGGTGCCACTTCTGGAGAAGGTCTGGCTCTCACCTGATCAAGTAAGAGCTGGGCCAGATCAGGCTGACTGTCCTTCAGCTCGCTAAGCTTCTTAATCAGAGTATGCCTGTAAGAGTGAGAGAGATCAACACTGAGACTTGGTATTTTTGGACACAATGAGAAATTTATTTCCAGCATGAGCAGCTAAGCTAAGGCGGGACAGAAGAGGTTCTACCTAAAGGCCAAAATAGCTCCAGCTTCCTTGCTCCTGTTCTGGGGGCTTCTCTCTTCTCTCCCATCCTGTTCCTATAACCCCCATTGTCCTCAGAGGGCTGGACACAGTGTGTGCAGGTGGCTCGTGTCACCTGTGCCATGCAGCCTCACAGACCAAGGCACTGTGGCACACACTGCACTTCATCAGGAGGGCTCTGCTAATTGGGAGCCTTATATTGCCTCTTCTCTGCCTCCACCCAGCAAGACCGCAGTGCCCCAGGCTCAGCACTGGCACTGCTGCCCCTTACCCTGTGTTGATCTCCAGGGTAGGCTGCAGGAGCTGGGCACGCTCCTCTTGGGTCTTGGCCAGCTGCTGCATGCGAAGGAAGTGGCGGGCAGCCCCCATCTCGAGCACGGTGATCATGGCAGGGTGGGTGTCCAGCCGTGTCGTCTCCTGTGGCAAAAACAGCAGTCAGTGCTGAGAGGACAATGCACAGGGGTTAGAAGTGATGGATGCTCAAGGACTCGGGGTCTCCTCAGCACAGATCCACACTAACCCCCCCACATGATTCATCCCAACCACCCCACAGGAGCTGCCTAAACCAGCAGGAAAGCTTGGAGCCCAAATGGCCCCACTGGTCCACGGGGAAGACAGTCACCAGCCTGTTCTGACCATGATGAACTAGTAAAATGGGCTTTGCTCATCACACATGAAGATGTAGTTCTGCTGCTGCCACACTGACATCAAAATGACAGATGCCAGCCTCCATATCATTTACAGAAAGAAGGCACGGAGAAGAATCATTCTCTCAGGGTCCAAAGATCTGTGGCAGCAGATCCCAAATCAACCACCCTCTGTTTTTCCCTAGATTATTACCTCCATGGATCTCCTGTGCCCAGACACAACATACCTACCTTAACCTCAGTGACTCGAGAGCCTAAGGCATTTCTCATCCAGGCCATCAGATCCCCAGCCTCTTTCTCTGTCAGACGTTCTGCAGCTGGCAGGGGAAAGAGGGCACATCTGAGCATGCATCTAGAGTGTGCCAAGGGAGAGGGAGCTTTACTGCTGAGCTCAGCCCATTTCATACTTCCACGTATCTGTTCTCTTGTGGAAATGGGAAAGCAGCACTGCTCAGCACACACCTACGTATATTCCCTCATCACAGGCCACGTGATACCCAGAGAGAGCAGGTTCACGTCCTGCTAACGCCTGCCTGCCTCTGTCAGGGCACCAGGTGTTGTTAAAACTCAAATCATGGAAGCTCCACATATGACATTGCACCTCTTTAAATTAGCAAATCACTTAAACTCAGATAATGTGGGATGAAAGGGATCTGCAAGAACTGCAAGTTGCCTCAGAAGATGAAAACGGCAGGATGGAAAGGAACAGGACTGCACGCAGCAGGAAGGGCCAGGGGAGCCTCACGATACCTGGGCGAGTCTCCTCAAACTTCTCTTCCTTATAGTGATCAACAACAATATCTGTCTCCACCGAGATCAGCTTCTTTTTGTCAAACTCCCGAAGGTGCAAGAGTGTCAGCTCATCAAATTGCTCATAGCAGAACAGGACCTGTGCCAAAAAAGGGACACCACCACATTGTTTGGGATGTAACGGCATGTCCTCCTTCCCAAGGCAACTCCGTGCCAAACAGCAAGAACATCACAAGGGAAACCAGGAGGTTCAGCCCCATGGTGACCATCGCTCAGGGCCCCAAATGAAAGCAAACCCTTGGAGGACTTTGTACCATGGGTAGCAGGTGAACTAGTCCTGCTGCCCCATGGAAAGCGAGAACCAGCACTGACTCCAGTCCTGAAAGGGCCACCTGCCTGCAGAGGACACACACAGGTACCAGCCCTGCACAGCAGCTCCTGCTCTGGGGTTCAGCCAAGGTATTCAAGAGATGTCAGACCGAGATGTCTGCACAAGCCCTAACCCACCTGCACGCAGCGTGTGACAGGTCCCTCCTGGCCCTGTGCTGCAGCAGCCAGTCTGAGTGGTGACAGAGGGAGCCCGGGCGATGACACCGCAGCCGTGGGTCTGTCACAGGCTGCACCACCCTGCTCAGCTCCGAGATCCCAGGGAGCCCTGACCACTGATGTAGTAGCTCAGGGTGTCCCCCAGCCATGGCACACAGCTCACCCACCTCCATGTCCTTCTTCTTCATGGCCTCAAAGTACGGAGAGTGCTCGGCCAGGTGCCGGTTGGGCGCACACAGGTAGTAGATGTTTCTGCTCCCCGCCTTCATGCGGGAGGCGTAGTCAGGCAGGCTGGTCAGCTGGCCAGTGGGCAGGGCAGATGATTCGTAACGGAGCAACTTTGCTATGTCCTCCTGGAAGAAATGTGCTCCTGTGAGCTGAGGGCAGGAGACTATAGCTCTACCTGACCACTCCCAGCCCCAAGACATCCCTTTGTCTCATGCAGGCCTGTTTGCAGGGGATTCCAAGTCCCTCCTTTCCTGCTCCAGATATTAAGGAGGCAGAAAAGTGACCTAGACAGGATGTAGGTCAAGAACTCCTGGAAATGGGAATCCAGGCAGAGGACAGCAGTAGGGGAAAGCCCTACTTGATTGCCTCTTGTAGTTGCTGTTGCATCACGGAGGGCTGGCAGCAGGGTGGGTACAGACTCTGCAGTGCCTCCAATTAAGTGGGAAGCAGCACCCAGTCAGAAAGAGTGAGAGTTAGGGCACCAGAGAATATGTAGGTCTTGTTAGATCCAGGGACACAAGTTATGAGCGTGTAAGATTCACAGAGAAGTAGCAGCCCCCTCAACCCAGGTCACAGTAGGAGCCAATACTCTTTCCAAAAAAAAAGCAGTGCTTCAGGACTCCTGGTACCTTGACATCCTGCTCTGCTAACGTGACAATCCCCTCTCTCATGAATACTCCGTAGTCCTCAAAGAATTTGGCATATTTCTCAGGGTCCTTCTTGCTCTGGTCAATAAAGAACTTGATCAACCTCTTCTGCAAAACATCTCGGAGCTTCCTGCAGCAGGAACAAGCCTTTTTAAAGATAGCTGCTAGACCAAGACAAGAGATTTCAGGTGAACATCCATCTCCTTGTGCAGTATTTCAGTGATGCATTTGCAAATATGAGGACAAAGAAGAAACTCGGAGCCCACTGCCTCCTTTCCCTCATGGCTCCACGTCTGTTCTTTATATCTCAGTTGAGAGCAGCTCTTGAGCTGGAGCCATAGCTAGGGCTGCGATAAAAAAAAAATGAAGCTCAAAACCTTCAGTAACTCAGTAATCCTGCAGTACATAACCAACTGCACACAGGGCACCTCTCTCACTCCCACAGCTCCCCTGAAACGTGGGAAGGAAGCAGCTATAAAAGGGTTACAACTGGAGGAACTCCCTCTGAAGGCCTGAAAATCCACTGTCAAGTGACAGGGTGAATTTGGTGACTATAGTGAGGCATTTTACCAGCTGTAGAATACAAAGTTAGCCATCAAACCTAACAAGGTCAGAGCACCAATGCTAAGGAGTAAAACCTCACTCTTATCCTTCCCTCCAGCTCCAACAACGGCAGGAACTGCCAACTCCCCCCAGTGAACTGGGACCTGAAGGACAAAAAGAAGGATCTGGCTTTGGTTTCTCCTAGGGGTTTCTTAGAGAAGACTGGCCTGTGGCAGTCAGCTTCGCTGGGCCTCAGCACCAAACAAAAACTCTGCTGGCTGACACTCAGTTTTGACAAGTGTCTGTGTGAGCACAGCAGAGCTTTGGAGAAGTCTGGAGATAAGAGGCACAAGGTGCTGTTTGAAGATCTACACATAAATAAGGGTGACACCGAGTACAGCCCAGCTTCCAGTACTGACAGCTGACTTACTGTTTGCCTTTGTTTTCCAAAGGACTTGGTGGGGCAGACCAGACACTTTAATGAGCAAATCCACTGTTGCTGCTGTAGGCCAGAGACACCGAAAGGCAGCCCCCCTAGGGCACGAGGGGCACATTTGTATGACAGATTGTATGACACAGGACACTGCTCCCACATCTCAAGATGTGACCAGCATGGCTGAGAAACAACTCACTTTATAGACCACAGAAATTCTCAAGGATGGAAATGCTGCAGCTTATGTGCCAGGTCCCTCAATGGTCCCTCAAACTATCCCACAATGTTCCCTCCTCAACCAGCAAGAACTTCCTCAACTGCCAAGAACCTTGGCAGTCCACAAGATCTACCTCTTGCTTACCTGATAAGGGCACTCTCCTGCAGCAGCTCCCTGCTGAGGTTCAGGGGTATATCCTCACTGTCCACAACACCTGGAACACAGAGCAACCCTTGAGCAGTGAGGCAAACACGAGTGCCAGGCTCGGGAAGGCAGCCCCTTGCCTCAGCCTGTGGAAGCCACAGTCCACAGCCCCGCTACTCCTGGTCCCAGCACACACCTCTAAGAAAACGCAGCCACTTTGGCAGGATGTCTGCAGCTTTGGTTTGGATGAGAATTTTGCGGCTGTAGAGGGCAACGCTGGAGCCCATTTCCCTGCTGATGTCGAACATGGATGGTTTCTGCAGGAACAAGAGAGAGAAGGGTAACACCAGCGCTGTGCAGGGTGCCCAGCTGCACGTTACGCTGCAGTATCTCTGTGGCTGTGCCAGGGGAACACACTGTGGTCTTCTCTACCAGTGCTGAACCCAAAGAGAGCTGAAATCTTGGCTGTCTCCTAGAGACCCACCTGATCCATCTCCCCACTCCTGTCATGGCTCAGTACCCCCACAACAACCCTGTGGCACCCAGTCCGCTGCAAAGATGCCAAACTGGATAATCCTCCCTGGAATTCTGCTGCCTCCTTTCCCTAAGGAGCTCTCCTATTCCCTCCTCTTCAGAGCAGCTGGGCAGATGTCCCACCCTTCCCTGGACAGAAGGACACGCACTTGCTCAGGCACGTAGAAGATGCTGCGGATGTTGAGGGGAGCGTCGGTCTTGTAGTGCAGGACGTAGCGGGGTTTGTCGTAAGCCTGCGCTATGAAGCGGTAGAACTCCTCGTGCTGCCACTCACCAATGTCCTTGGAGTCCAGCATCCAGAGTGCCTGTGGAGGAGCAGGGAGATGAGTTCCCATCAGCTCTGAAGACCTGTGGCCTCACAGCTCTTCTTTCAGAGTCACACTTTCCCTCCAGGGCTCTGGAGCAAGGGACTATGAGCGTATGATCTTTCAAGCAGACTCCCGAGGGCAGTGGGATGTGTTATGGTTCAGGCACATTATCACAGACTAACAAATTCCTGCCCCTCAGCTGATCTCAGGTCACCTCTCAGAGGTACTCTTGCCTTGCAACATGTAGAAGGCAATTTTTTTGAGCCCAAAACGAGAGGGACTTGGCTAACATCCATTGCCTCACACCTGCTGCTGGCCAAGAGCATCCTGGGCAGTTACCACAGCTCAGCTGACGGTCAGTACTAGTCCAGCATCTCAATGCCTGACCAGCAAGTAAAAGAAAAGTGAAAGTTTACATAGGTCTATTGCAACCAGCCTGCCTCCCTGATGAAGGTCACTATCCCACCACAAGGTCACCTGAGCGCTTGTGAAGCAGCATTGCCTGTTATCTGCTGATTTCTTGTGGAACAGTTCAGAAGAGGCTTTGTGACTGCTTGGCCATCCCTGCTGCAGGGTCAGAAAGTGCTTCAGCAGCACCATTTCACACATCAACACGTGAGTTAAAGTCATGAGCTCCAGACCAGGTCCTTCCCCGTGGCCATGCTCTCTCCACCTACTGCTGCTCTAAACCCCCCAACACTTTTCTGGAGCATTCAGCCCATGCTCACCCCACATTTAAATTTTCAGTACCTCAGCAAAAGACCAGCATCTACCAAAGGTGTGGGAGGCTCTGCCCGTTTCACAAGCATGAGGACTCAACTAAGAATCTCATGTTTCCAGACAGCTGAAGCCCACTACACTCACTGCCACTCTTTTCTACTCGAGCCCTAATGAGTGACAGGAGTGATCTCTACAAACATCCAGCCCATCCTCTACCCCACCACTCCAAGGGATTTAGGGCCCTAGCCAGCCCTGCCATGATGCCATACTCCATAAAGCTTCTTCTGCCTCAAAGCCTTGTTTCACAAGTGGCTTCATAACATTTCCAGCACACACAAGTGTCCTGGAGGGTTTGCAGGATCACAGGTAGGATTACAGACTCAACTGGGTACTAAGGTGCTTTACAGGAGCAGTTGTTAGGTAAAGTGCTGCTTTCCCAGAGGCTTACTTGTAGCTACTATCACAGTTAGACTGGAAAAGCCTCTCACTCCACACTGCCAGCTTCATGGCAAGCAGTCAACAGCTTATCTAGGAGAACTCACACCAGGGATCTAACTATGGCTTTGTTTACAGTGAACTGATGGGCAGAAAAACACAAAAACAAGATCCTGGATAAAGAAAAGGCCTGAAATGGGAAGATAATGAGAATAAAGCTGTTGCTGTATCCCAAGGGAGAACAGACTTTCCGATAAGCAGATAAAAGTACGTGACTCTATTAAGGGCATTTCACCCCTTGCTCTAGTACTGCTCTTCTCTAGAGAGTCTGTGCTATTGATTGCCAGGTAGAAAGAGCAAACAGCCATCTAAATCCATTCCTGGTTTTGTAATTTAAAGGAAACAGCTAGAAAACCTTTGGAACAGAAACACTATTATGCAGGAATCCAAACAAATATCAGTGACTAATAACACCAGTTACAGAATCTTCCATACATTAACATGATAGAATCATAGCGGTTGGAAAAGAGCTTCAAGATCATTGAGTCTCAACCATAAAATATTTCAGTAGTCTTGAAAGTCTATGCATTCAGTGTCACATTCCAGGAAACAAAAAAACCCCACACACGTGCTCTTTCCCTGTTCTCTTAGGTGAGGAAGCTTTAAACCAGAAAAGGAGATGCTGGAGGAAAATGATTCATAGATTCTTGTTTTAAAGACAATTAATTTCACCTAGGTGATTCCTGCAATTGGACCAAGAACTTCTGACTAAACCAGATCTGGCTGCTGTCTGATTTGTAGTGGTCAAAAAATGCCAGCACCAAGCAGTGCTCAGCTAAGAGCTGGGAAGAAAATCAGGCTGTGAGCTGAGCCACTATGAAAACCAGCCATTCACTGGGACTGGCTACTTCATGCTGAAGGACAGAGAGAACTGCAGCAAGAAGTGTCAGCACACCAGCAACGTGAGCAATCCCTGCAGCACTGACATGTCACCTGGCTTAAACAGTTAACATCAGTTTTATAAAGCACTGAGATAATCATTCTGATGAAAGGGAAGTCCAGAAGATAGCTATAAATAATAACTGCTCTGCTAATCTGCAAGAATTCTCCCCAACAAACAAACAACATGACTTCTGCTGGGTTGTCTCCTTTTGTTCTAGTTATCTGATCACTACAGGGTCTGTGATATCCTGGACAATACTCCCCTGATTTCTAGGGACAGCAGTGGCTTTATTGTGTTTCCTGTCTCCAGTGGAGGATGACAATGGTTCTTCTCCACGAGTGACCTGCCCATGGCCCTCCTGCTCACCTGTAATGTGTTAATTCTTCTTCCATTGAGGTACAGTGGGAAGCTGATGAAGTTGCTGTATTTTGTCACCACCTCTGGAATGGAAATAAGATACAGACGAGTCACATTTGGGAAAACAACACGATGAGAATTTCTTCAGTAACAGCAGGTGAAAGGTGTTGCAGGAGAGGAAAAAGGCTGTAAATTCACCTCCCACTCAAGGGGCAGCAACAGACTTCACACAGCCCCCCAGCAGGTAACAGCATTTCCCTCCTCTACTCACCCTTGACTCGATCTTCGTTTGCAAACTCCTTGCAGTCTTCTTTGAGATGTATAATAATCTTAGTCCCAGCTCTGACACCAGATGCTTCTGCAATCTCAAACATCCCTGAACTAGGATTAGAAACAGACCTTGTGTCAGCTTGTGCCTCAGATACATCCGTGATGGGACATAAAAATATTGTATTAGACTAAAAGCACACACAATACTTCAGCACCAAGAGGAAAAGGCAAAAAATCTTGAATGCCTGAATGTTCTCTGTGAGAAGCCCCCACAAAACACGTAGCTGTCTTCCCTAAAGACTCCAGAGCCAGGACACACTGCTCTGCAAAGACACCAGCAGTCTCTACTGAAAAGGAAACAAACTTCAAACACATCTTAGGTTGTGTGGGTCCAGCCCTCAACTCCCCTCCTACATTTCCTACGGTGACCGTAACACCCAGGCTCCTGCCTTCTCCCTTGACAACTCTTGACTTGTTTGTGGGCCCCATTCCTGTCTCTGCTGGAGTATGCACTGACTGGTTACAATGGAAAGCAGCTGTGCTCTGCTGAAGACAGCCCATCTGGCTGACCATTCCTACCCTACTGCTAACTGAATGCCACATGGGATCAACCACTGGTGAGAGCACTGACCCAGGGGAGAGGCAGCAGCAGCGATGACAGATGAGCATTCAACAAGCACAGCAATATTGCCCAAGACAGTCTGATGTCTCAGTTACAAGACTTTTTTCCAATAATTTAAATAACTCAGTAAATGCTTTATTCCGAGGAGATTTTCATAGAATCCCAGACTGGTTTGGGTTGGAAGGGACCTTAAAGCTCATCCAGTCCCAACCCCCCTGCCAGCAGCAGGGACACCTTCCACTAGACCAGGTTGCTCAAAGCCTCATCCAACCTGGCCGAGAACACTTCCAGGGAGGAGCAGCCACAGCTTCTCTGGCCAACCTGGGACACTGTCTGACCACCCTCACACCAAAGAATTTCTTCTTCACATCTCAGCTCCATCTCCCCTCTGCCAGTTTAAAGCCATCACCTCTTGTTCTCTCACTCCCTGCCCTTGGCCAAAGTCCCTCCCCAGCCTTCCTGGAGCCCCTTCAGGTACTGGAAGGTCACTAGAAGGTCTCCCTGGAGCCTTCTCTTCTCCAGACTGAACAGATTTTAAGGTGATGCAGAGCTTTTCACCCCATGGAGCTCCAATTTCAACATGGTCCAGCAGTCCACAGCTATGCATCACAGATGTTTGCAACTTCAAGTGAAAAGCAAAGAATGAGCACAGAGATCCGACCCACAGAAGACAACCTGCCTGCAGAGCCACAGCACTGCATGAGCCCGGCCCACTGTAGGTGCCCTCGAGCAAAAACCCACAGAATGAGTAAACCCAAGAGATTATATTTGTCTCTCCAGTTTGAGGCCCTACCAAGATGATTGCCTGTCAGCAGGGAAGGAACAGGAGGGACAAGTACTCTCTTTGTCCACAGCACACCTGCTACAACAAACCAAGTGTGTCCCTCTGGTTCTCACCCTGGCACACTGGGTCATACTTTGTTACCAGGTATAATCTAAACCACTAAGCCTGGTCATGAAAGACCACACAAGCCCTGTCTTGCTTTGCACAGCTTTCAGTCCATGCCTGGTCTGGACACAGCCCTGCCACTTTTCCATCCCATTCTGCAGCCTTACCCATCTGAAGACCAGTGGTAGCCTGGGCTCCCCGGCTCTGCAGACTGTGAGAACACCTCCACTTTATCAGCCACCATGAAAGCTGAGTAGAAACCTACTCCAAACTGGCCAATGATTTTACTACTGGCTTCAGCCTGGTTCTGTAGAGCATCTAGAAAAGCCTGGAGGAACAAAGGAGACATGAACCAGTGTGCAGTGACTTCAGATACCACTGGGAGGCTGCAACCCATCTTCCAGCTGGTCTCCTCCAAGCACTGATGCAGCCCTGCGCCAGGTACCGCAGCCCTGACAGGCCAGTACCCCCATCTCATACCTCTGCATCAGAGCTTTGAGGAGGGTGCTCGAGGAAAAGGGGTTCTCCCAGAGGGATTGCACCTCTGGAAAAGGGGAGCATTGCTCAGGGCTACAGGAAAACAAGTGAGGGCTCAGTCAACTGGGAGCATGAAATCTTAAAATGGTGACTCCAGAGGGTACATACATACATACATACATACATACATATCTATCTATCTATCTATCTATCTATCTATCTATCTATCTATCTATCTATCTATCTATCTATCTATCTATCTATCTATCTATCTATCTATCTATCTATCTATCTATCTATCTATCTATCTATCTATCTATCTATCTATCTATGCCGAGTGAGCCTGTGACCCTCTGTAACGATGGTCTGGGGAGGAAGGCAGTTGCTGTTGGCAGTGAGGGCAGCCAGGTGCAGCAGCATTACACACAGGGCCCATTAGTGCTGCTTGGGCACCATGGGCCTCCCACAGCAGAGACCATTAAGAGCTTAGAAGACCCCACAGGTAGAGGGGAGAGTACCAAGAGGGGTGTAATTTCACAGCTGGGCTGGGGGCCAAGGGATGAAACAGAATAAGAAATGACTGGGAGAACAAAAGTGACTGTAATTGGAGAAGACTCTTCTAACGGGGAGGAGTGCCTCATCCCCAGTTACCTTTGAGCCTGATCGAGCAATGGTGCCAAGGTTAGAAATCAGCTCCTCCTGGGTCATCCCAATACCCGTGTCCTGAAAAGAAACAGCAGTTGTAGCTGAAACGTCAGTAGAGAAGCACTGCTTTAGCAACCAGCACTTGAGCAACTTCTGCCTCTGCCTCCCAGTCTCTCCCAGCCAGCTGAGCAGTAAATACAACAGCAGACATCCTGCTGTGGCTCCAGCTGCACATGGTTGGGACAGCAGACTCAAAAGCCACACAGCTCCAAAGGGGCAGCCACAGCTGCCTTGTGGCTATAAACCACCAAACTTCAGAGGCTCAAGCCTTTTATCGACAGAGAACAAAACCATGCCAAGACAGGCTGGTTTCTACACTCCTCTAGAAATGCAGAGGATGACAGAGCTGGGAAGAGACCTCAGCCCAGTCACAGCCTCACTGTGCCAGGTGCTGTGCACGTACAGAGACAGTTTTCATTCCTGAACAGGTCCAAAGTGGAGTTGAGGAGCAGTGAGAAGCAGCCTATTTCCAATCCACAGACAGGGAACTGATGCCCTCACACCGGGAATGTGGCAGAGCAGTGAATCCCTTAACTCAGGTAACACAGACCCTTGCTGATCTTCATCTACTGTCTGTCTTTCCCTTCCTCCTCTCCCCCTCATATTGTGCTCCACAAGACCTGAGCGTGAAGCTGCCAATGTCCATGTCCCTGAGTCCAAGAGCAGGGTATTGCAGTGCCTGTAGGACACCAGCCACACCTCACGATGCTCTGTCCGGGCTTCAAAGGTACGTGGTGGCTTGTCTTCCCCATTTTAATCTAGATTTGCATGCAGATAACTAACTCCCTGCTGCTAGCACATGCCTCTTGGGCAGCAGACCCTGCAGCACCACCCAAAAAAGGCTGCAGCAAGCCTCAGACTAGGCTGCGACTTCATTTGTTGCCACAACACATTTGCATGACCCCAAGGCAACATGGATAACAGCAAACCCCAGCTAGAAATGGCCACGCTCTCACACAGGACCCCAACAAAAATCTTGCCCACTCTGTAGTCCAGTGTATTTTCACACTCACTCCACACGCATCTTCCACAGAAACAAAGTGCAGGCTGATGCTCTCCAAGATACCACTTCTGGAAACCTCCCTCCCAAATGCCAGCAGCTTCTCTACCTGACAAACATCCCGAGAAGCCACTCTTTTGGGTTCTCTGAGCCACTCCGTAAGGCGGCAGCAGCGTGAAAATTAGCCAAGTGAAAGGAGATTCTCGTTGGTGGAGGAGCTGAGCTCCACTCGAGTACCTGGGAGCACAGGTACCACAGCAGCCCGCACACCCAGAAGCGGGCTGACACCCTCCCAGTGTCATTAATGGAGGGGTGGGATCTGGTGGGCAGGAGTCAGCAAAACGAGCCTGAGTGGAACTGGCTACTGCTAGATTGGCTTGGAGGAGAAATGCCAGAGTGAGAAGTGGCACGGCACACCTGTAACACCCACGTGGGGCATTCGGTGGGCTCATTCACCAGCAGGGCATGTGAGTGTCAGTACATACTTTTTAATCTAGTGTTTAACTCCACTGAAGGATCAAACTGTCATCAACTTGTGTGGTTACTGAGTGAGGTGCCATGTGGGTAAGACACTTTCCTGCAACCCCACACGTCACGGCACAGCAACACCTTCCCCTTGATTAAATACGGTAAGGCCAGTCAATAGTCTTGGCTGAGAAGAGAGATGATGCCCAGTAAGATCTCAATAGTGGGAGATGAAAAGCCAGGAAAAACAAACAGGGTATGGCAAAATCTCAGGAATCTGACATGGTCCCTTCCCCCAGGGAACAAAAAGCCAGAAAGAAAAGTTTTCAGCATCTGGTTCAGGTTTTGTTCATGCCAGACCCTGAGCAGAACTCTTAACTCCTCTGATCCACTCCTATTTATAGCACAGCATGTCATTCCCAAATTCCAATATGTTCAAAAAATATATATATCCCTCTCCCATGAATTTCTTTGGCTATTGAATTCCAAACTCCCTGCCAAACTTATTGCAAAACGCTTAATGACAATTCCTGGAGACGAGTTTGACGAGGGCGGATGGCAAAGAACAAAGAGAGAGCACACGGCTCAAGCCAGTCTGCTCCCCACGCAGCGCCGAGCCGCTAATGGGGAAAGCGGAAAGCGTTGTTTTCAGTGGCCAGCCGAAGCTCCTGGCAGAGCAGACATTTCCTACTGCAGGAAAACACCTGGCTGGATCACCATGAAAACGCCATCAAGATGCAGAGGGCTCTGGCAGCGTTGGCGTTTCCTGTGGCTGGGCCGGCGCTGTGCTTCTCGGCTCGCTTCACCAGATGGTGCTGCTCCGGGGAACGCCGAGTAAAGTGGTGGCAGCGGCCGAGAGACGGGAGCTGGGCTTCTGCAGAGCAGGCCCTCTTCAGCGAGGAGAAACAAATGAACCTGCCCACAAACAGCCTGCCTGGGGCTGGGCCGATGCGAGCTCAGGCAGCGCTAGCTCCATGAAACCCAAGGAGCTAGTGGGACTCCCAGGCATCTTCACTAGGAACCACCGTGTCATCACACACCCCTCTGCAAACACCTTCTACCCACGATCGGAGGGTTTTGGAGGTGAAATGCCAGAGTGAGATGTGGTCCTGCAAGGACTGCTGTTGCTCCATCAACATTACAACTTTTCTTCCTTTGCAGACAGTTTCAAGCCCTCCCTTCAGTCTGCAAGAAAAGTGTCATCAGGCTGAAAACAGCCACAGCAGAGTTACTTGTAAAAGCACAAAGCAAGTTGTACGTGGGGCTTCACAAATAACAAGACGTGATGGATGTGTTCAGGATTCAAAGGGCCAAGTGCTTCTCCACAGCTTAGAGAAACCAGCCACCATGAAACAGAGTTCAGTGCACTGACATGTCATTAGCTGAAGGTTAATTACAGAAGCCCTTCTGTTACTCAGCAGAACAATAATCTACTCATCTGGTTGAATTTCCCTTCTGGGACCTCTTAGGGTGCAAAGAGCCTCCTCCTGAACCATCCCCTCCTACAGCCTTGTCCTTCTGCAAGGACACAACAGGCTACAGACCTTCACCCCATCTTCTGAGGGACCAGAGGAGCTCCACGGCCACACTTGTTGAACCACATTTCCAAACTAAGTAACATCTCCCCTGAAAAGACAGCAGCTGAATATTGATTTTAGCACCTTTTTTGTGACCCAATTCTTCTGCTTAGTTTTGATTATTTCATCTGAATACTTGCAACATGGGGGGACCTCCCAGATACAAAACCTGCTCCTGAACGGCATGGGTCCTTCGTGCTTTCTCTGCCCTTTGTTCTAACCCTTGTGGTGTGGGTGCTGGACATTTGCAGAGACCCTTCTGCGTGGGTAACCACTGGGCACACAGTACCTCAGGGCTCCCACCATGAAATCCTCCGTGTGTGCTCCACAGCCCTGGGGACATCTGTCTTTCTAGGCAGTGGTGTAAACGAACACCTTCAGCCCCACTGTCTGTCTCATCATGTCAGTCAGCTCACAGAATCACAGGATGTCAGGGATTGGAAGGGACCTCGAAAGATCATCCAGTCCAACCCCCCTGCCAGAGCAGGAACCTAAATGAGATCACACAGGAAGGCGTCCAGGTGGGTCTTGAATGTCTCCAGAGAAGGAGACTCCACACCCTCCCTGGGCAGTTCACAGCTCTTGCATCCCTATCATGCTTTTTGGGAAAGCAGAAACAAACTGCACGTAATTACAGCAACAAATCTAGTTTAAATCAACAAATTGCTTAGTTTAACTGGTAAATAAGAACCTAAGTAATGTAACATCTTTGCTCATTACCCAAGTCCAATTTCAGGTATTGTGGAGCCTCCTTACACCAAACAATCCATTAACTAACCATTAACTGCTGCCTTTGCCACGGCTGCAGCTGAAGGACGCTTGCAGTGAGGGGTACCTGTCTGAGGGCTGTGCCTTGCACTTTGCTTTGTTGCAAAACAAACACTTGAAACACTTTATTATTTTCCATGCAAAATCTCAACAGGGCATCAGAATACTGACTACATTATAAAACAAGGCCATACCACTTTCACCAGCTGATAAGCTAATAAAATCCCCAAATGTCTGATTAGCAAGTGTGCCCCTTGTTATTTAAATACTTCGCTTAAAGAGACTGAAGATTCACAAGGCCGGGGCAGCAGCCCCACTGGAGCAGCGTCCTGGTTTAGAACCAATATGACATCTGCAGCAGCACCCAACTCACCCACAGGCACAATAACCTGATGGATACAGGGACAAGGTAATCTTGGCCTGGTACATGGAAACTGTCCAAAGCAGAGAGCCTGAGCTTTCCCTTCCTTTCCAACACTCTGTGTTAATGTTATTTTCAACAATGCTGAGCATTGCTACAGGCTCAGCCTCCACCCATCCAGGTCTAAATACCTGCTGTTTAGAACAATACTTCCTTCTATCCACTCTGAATTTCCCATTTTCAAACGTGACTTCCTCTTATTCTGGCATGAAGAGGATGAAAAGGAAAGATTCTGCATTTCCCTCCCTAAGCTGCAGGTTAGGGATGCGTTTGAGAAGCGTTTATATTTCTGGGTCCCTGTTATTTGTTAAAGATGATGCAACAACTGGAAGCTCTAACCCACCCCTGCAATAAGTGGCACATTTCTGTGGAGCTTAATTCCACTTGAGGCTTGTCCAGGTACAGCCAGCTTCACCCCTCCATCTCTACCTGCACTGTTGTCCACCTCCTGCTCCCCTGCGTCCTCAAGCCCAAGCAGCAGACGGATGCTGCAGCACTGCACACAGCGAAGGACGTAACCCTCTCTCTGCTGCAGCCTGGTAGTGCAGGGTGGCTGTCAGGACATGACCCAGCGTGGAGGGGGACCAGCTCCCCACCTGCACCAGCCAGCTTCACCCCTCCATCTCTACCTGCACTGTTGTCCACCTCCTGCTCCCCTGCGTCCTCAAGCCCAAGCAGCAGACGGATGCTGCAGCACTGCACACAGCGAAGGACGTAACCCTCTCTCTGCTGCAGCCTGGTAGTGCAGGGTGGCTGTCAGGACATGACCCAGCGTGGAGGGGGACCAGCTCCCCACCTGCACCAAGCTTTGGTGGACATGCAGATGCATCTGCATTGAACTGCAAAAGCCCAAACATCTCAGTTCCTTCTTAGAGCCTCAGGACAGCCCAGTCCTTGTTGCAGACTGCAACTGGTGAGCCAGGAGAGGTGTGCTCAGCGATACAGGGAGGAGCGGTGTTTGCAGTCATTTTAACTCCTCCCAAACACAGCAAACTTGTTGTTTTGTGGCTTCACAGACCCTGATTTTGGATGACTGCAACAGCGAGAAGAAAGCCCAGCAAAGAGAACTGACATATTAAAGCAGCAGCCACGCTCCCTCAGCCAGCAGCAGCAGCTACCAGCTCTGTAAACATTTCAAACAATTTCCCCTGGACTGCTAGCACTGTCCTAGCCCTAAATCAAGTGCCAGCAAGGAGCAGAGCTCCAGCACCCGAGCTCACACAAACACAGGGTCACCCAAACCACCACAACCAGACACAGCAGCACGGCAGAGCTGTGCAGCAACACCAACTGCACCACGGGAGCATCATGCAGGTGTTGAGGGAGAGCTCTGTGGTTGCAGAGCTTTGGGATCAGTAAGGGGTCCTCTGTTCCCACCTCAAAGAATCCAAAACCACGTCTGTAAAGCCTTAGCACGCAGAACTGCAGAGCTCTGCAGATCTGTCCTCATTGAAAACATCCCCCATAACATTTTCAAGTGGATTTTCTTAAGAGATGTGACCTTGCAGGCTGTAGCTGCTACCAGATGGAGCTGTCCTAGAAACAGAACCAGGCAGTTTTCAAAGGGGTGGAGGAGGAAACTGCGCAATTTGCTAAAACAACAGGACTTTGGTGAAGGAACTGAGGTGGTGCAATCCAGTGGACTAGACAATGAACGTTTTCCTCTCAGCAGATACAGCACTGGGCAATGCTTAGGTAGGACACCCCCGTATGAGGACATCAGATTAAAATTCTGAGTCTTGCTACACTTATGACTGAAATTCAGCTCTGGCAGAGGAGTAAGCAGAACTGCAGCCACTTAACAGAGACAAACATAGTCCTTTACTAGAGCCAGATAATCCCCTCCAGGAACATACCTGTAATGGAGGCCATCACACATGACAGACCTGTCTTTTCTCAACTGCTGAGACACAAAGAGATGCTACAGGGCTTGGAAGGGCAGGGGAGAGATTTATGGAATCATAAAATGGCTTGGGTTGGAAGGGACCTTAAAGATCATCTAGTTCCACCCGCCCTGCCATCAGCAGATCTAGCAGATCAAGGGGCCAAAAGCAGCGCAAAGATCTGAGAAGAACCCAGGGGTCAGGGTGAGACAACGGGACCTTTACTATTCAAATAAATAAATAAATAAAATTTGAGGTGACCATTGCTACAGCCCACACAAGGGACCTGCTGCCTCTGTTTTGGTGGGTCCTACTGGGTACAGAAAACAAAACAGCAACTAATGGATGGGTCTGTCTCTGCCTCAATCAATACAGGTAAGTTTTCTTGCACCCAGCATTCCTGAAAGGTGGGGAAATGTTCTGAATGAGGGAAATGTTCTGTTCAAAGGAATCATTATATGCAGCATGTTTCTTCCAGAGGTTATAAATAAACCCTTCACTGGAGGTAAGGAGCTTTAGGCACTACTGAGAAGGCAAACCTATTAAAAGAGATTGGAGCAGCGCGGTTCCCTCGCCCTGCTCACAGGGCAGAACTGCTGCAGTTAACAGCTTCCTGGTTAAGACTCATTTAGTCGCATTAGAGATGCAGAGGCAGCTGGGTAGGGGGTTATAAAAAGACCACTCACTCCCTAACACATCTAATAGGGCCTACAAGAAAGCTGGGGAAGGACTTTTCATAAGGGCAGTTAATGACAAAACAAGGGGAAATGGGTTTAAGCTGAAAGAGGGGAGGTTTAGATGAGATATTAGGAAGAAATTCTTCACTGTGAGGGTGGTGAGACAGTGTCCCAGGTTGGCCAGAGAAGCTGTGGCTGCTCCTCCCTGGAAGTGTTGAAGGCCAGGCTGGATGAGGCTTTGAGCAACCTGGTCTAGTGGAAGGTGTCCCTGCTGCTGGCAGGGGGGTTGGAACTGGATGAGCTTTAAGGTCCCTTCCAACCCAAACCAGTCTATGATTCTATGATTCTATGTCAAATTCACCCTCTCTGCCAGGTGGGCAAATAGGTCTCAACCAAACTGCCAGAGAAGGAGACACCTTCCTCAGTTACAGTTGTAAGGATGTCTTGATGAAGTCAGAGGCTACGTGTCCACCGTGGTCTCAAA